GCTACAGCTCACTGAGAATACTGGGAACCCAGTCATCCTTGCCCCAGCTCATGAAGTGATGGTTCCGTGCCAGAGACGTAAAACCTAGAGGACCTCCAGTTACTGTCCCCTCCACCAAGCACTCAGCTTCTAGAGCCGGGGTGTTGCTGGGAGAGGAGCTTACCTTTATCTCCATCCTCTGCTCCAGAGCTCTGACTCAGAGATTTTGCCTGGGAGGAGAAGCAGACCATAAAACAAATAGCTCCTAATCTCTTCTCAAAACAACTGACTTCATTTGTAACTTTTTCTTTACCTTTAATCCCTGATAATATATATATATATATATATAGGCACCAAACCAGATAGAAATTTTATGATGTATATTTATCCATTCACATATTTCACAACCTTTTTTGTGTCTATCGTGCTAGATACTGGACAGGATCAAAAGATAAATTAAGGGCACCTGGGTGGTTCAGGCATCTGCCTTTGGCTCAGGTCATGCATGATCCCAGGCTCCTGAGATCGAGCCCCACGTTGGGCTCTCTGCTTAGTGGGGAGCCTGCTTCCCCCTCTCTTCCCCTCTCGCTATCTCTGTCTCTCTCTCAAATAAATAAATAGAGGTGCCTGGGTGGCTCAGTCGTTAAGTGTCTGCCTTCGGCTCAGGTCATGATCTCAGTCCTGGGATCCAGCCCCGCATCAGACTCCCTGCTCTGCGGGAAGCCTGCTTCTCCCTCTCCCACTCCCCGCTGCTTGTGTTCCCTCTCTCGCTGTCTCTCTCTCTCTGTCAAATTAAAAAAAAAAAAAAAATCTTCAAATAAATAAAATCTTAAAAAAAAAAGAAAGAGAAAGCATGGGAAAACAAAAGATTTTAAAAATAATAAATTAGATGCCAAAAAGTGTTTTCACTGAATCCTTTTGCTCTGCCTGCTCTGAGCTTCTCACAACTTGCCTTCACATTCTTCCCTATACATTCTTTAGTTGTCTTTAGTTCTAACAAAATCAACAGAATGAGATTTATCAGTGACTTATGTAAGATCCAGTATTTAGATCCACCCCTAACCTCTTCCCTGAACTCCACATCCAAATGGGCAACTTCAGGGGCGCCTGGGTGGCTCAGTCGTTAGGTGTCTGCCTTCGGCTCAGGCCCCATATCAGGCTCCCCTCTCGGTGGGGAGCCTGCTTCTCCCTCTGCCTGCTGCCCCTCTTGCTTGTGCTCACTCTCTCTCTGTCAAAGAAATAAATAAATTCTTTTTTTAAAAAAATGGGCGACATATATAAATTTACACAAACATTCCTCTTTAGTTTTTCTAATTTAGTATGCCTAAAACCAAAATATTCTTTCTCTTCATCATTAACCCCTACCAAAATCCTTCTTCCTCTTTCATTCTCTTATTTGGTGAAAACACCATCCACTCAGTCACCCACATTAGAAACCTTGGGTCACATTCTTCTCTCCTAGCTACTCCCTGACCCCATCCCTGATAGAAGGTGGTTTTACCTCCTAAATATTTCTTAAATGTATTTTCTCTATTCTCAGTGCCACTTAGTTTGATTTTATTTTATTATATACTCATACTGTTGTAATAGCCACCCTCAAATCTACCCTCTATATTGCCATCAGAATAACCTTTTTAAAATGTAGATAAGACTGTACTACTCCCCAGTGGCTACTCGTACTTACTGAATAAGATTTCATTAGGTCCTTATGAGTTCATACTAATACTTTAAATGATGGTTATCTTGTACTTCTGATACTCCTTCTTCATTTATTTGCCAGAACATTTCCTCCTTTTCATCTCATTCCTGTGAGAGAATCAGCAAACACATTAAACAGTGGTTTTGCTTAGACCAATTTTAGCTGCCTAGTGTATTGTGATTACTTGTCTTTGGGAAGGGTATATGAAGTAGATTTATATTTGAACTCATCTCTGATAACAATCAAGATAATGATTTCAGTGGCCTTACCTGGCTGTCTTGGCACAGGGCTTTATGCCTTTTATCCATTCTGTTGTGTTATCCCAGGTTGATCATTTTGTCTTCCCATATTAGAATATTCAGTGACCTTATTCAGCTAGAAATCTTAAGGTGTTTTTTTTTTTCCCCTTTACATACACATTTATCTGCATAGTACATTCAAAGGGATGTTTATCTAATGGATTGTTTAATATTTAAACTGACACCACCCTCTGCATGCTCACATTTTCTTTTACCCTTTTTTTTTTTTTAAGATTTTATTTATTTTGAGAGAAAGCACTAGAGAGAGCGAGCATGAGTGGGGGGAGGGGGAGATGGGGAGGGCAGGGGGAGATGGGGAGGACAGAGGGAGAGGGAGAAGCAGATTCCCCACTGAGTGGGCAGCCCGACACAGGTCTCTATCCCAGGGCCGCAGGATCATGACCTGACCCAAAGGCAGACGCTTAACCGACTTTAATATAGGTGCCCTTTAATTTTTTTTTTAATTTTTTAGTTTAATTTCCAGTATAGTTAGCATGCAATGTTATATTAGTTTCAGGTACATGCTCACATTTAGAATATTGTACCGTGCCCATTAACAGTTTGTCAGTATATACATTGCACAGGGAAGCACATCAGGATGGTGAACACTCACTGAGATCACGTGTGATCCCATGATAGCGTGGAACTCCTTTCTGCTTTATCACCTGGCAGAATTCTACTTTCATTAGGCCCTATCCTCTGTGATGCCTCTTCTCCCTTGTACATTCAGAATTAATTACTTCTTTCATTGCTTTCACATAGCACGGCTGCATACCTTTGTAGTCTCAGTTAAGAACATGTCTTTTTCATAAGGACTGTAAGCTCAGTGAGGTCGAGGATAATGTTTTATTTGTACTTAAGTTCCTCCCTTCACATAATAAAGTGTCTCACATTTGGTGAATTCTCTACTGAGCAAAATCAGTTATAATTTGACTGTTAGAATACCTGATTCAGTCTTACTAATATTTGTGCCCAAAACAAGGGAGGTAAAAATAGTAAAGTTATGCTCAGTTTTAATACTGCCATACCTACCATATTTGCATGCGGTTCTGGGGACCATTATTAAAGGAACATTGAAAAGTGGAGATGGTTGAGAACAAGGATGTTAATCAAATTTTAAGGAGCACTTAAAGGGATTAGGATGTTTAGTTTAAAGAAGAGAAACCATAGGAAAGAGTGGCATGTGATTGCCATCTTCAGTTTTTGAAGGCCTTTTTAAGGGAAAAGAAAAAGTAGACCTACTGTGTATGACTTCAGAGTTTGAACGAAGAAGACCTGAAACCCCAGTTTTGTAGCAGTATGCTGGGGTTTTAAAGAAAAAATTTGCTTACTGTGCAAAAAAAAAAAAAGAATAAATACCCATACTCCCACCAGTGATTCCCTTGAATATGATGAAAGCTCTTGTACGTACATGCAGACATTATTCTGTATACAGTTTCAGAAGGATCGTGGCTCCCTTAGGGAATCCACAAATCTCAGGTTAAGACCTCATGTTCTCTTGTTCTGTGTCTGTGATGTAAATACTCTTTCATCACATTTTTCACCAAATATATACTAATATGTACTACTGAGTGTCCACTATATATCAGTAATTGCTCATTCATTTTAATACTCAGAACCAAACATTTTTCCAGGTCCATTAAAGATTCATCATCTTTAGCATCTTTTAAAATTGATGGCTGTATTTTTGAAGTATTTGAAATCTTTTTTATCCAATTTCCAAAGTGGCTTTGTTTTATATTTATTTCAGTACTAACAATAAAAAAGTTATTTATAACAGATAAAATAATTAATGTACATAGTTGTATTTTTTTTACACTGGAAAAGTACTGTGATCTAAGAGTCAGAAGACCCAGACTGTAGCTTTGTTTGTCATTTGTTAGTCACGTAACTTTTCTGAGCATTAGCTTTCTTGTCTTTATCAAGAGGCCTCCCTGACTTCACATAGAGGGTGTAAAAAGAGGTTAACGGGGAAAATACTATAAAAACTGAAGCATTATTAGATGTGCTAAATTAAAACTATTTGAGAATGTCAGTTTTTTGTATTTTTAGTAAATGTGAAATCGGATAAAGGCAAACTAACTTCTTTTTAAGCGAAAATCCAATCAATTGATTACTAGCCATTTTTTTATAAATTTATTTCCAGAAAGTTTGTTTCATTGTATTAGGAACATAAACAATAAAAATAACTGCTTTCATTTGTTGAGCATTCACAAAGCACCAAGTACTGTGCTAAGCATTACTATATATATTGTTTCATTTACAGGTAACAGGTTGTTACAGGTAACAACCATGGAGGAATTGTTGAGGAAAGAATCCAGGCCTATCACATTCTAAAACTTGAAGTCTTAACCCCCTATATTTAATCACTTTATATCCTAAAAGAGGCAGTATATAGCGTTAAGGTTAAGAGGGAAGCTGTAGAGCCAGCCTGTCTGGATTTGAACCTTTGGTCTGCCACTTAAGAACTTTCTAATTTAGCAAAATAGTTAACCCTTGGTTGGGCGACTGCCTTCGGCTCGGGTCCTGATCCTGGAGTCCCGGGATCGAGTCCCACGTCGGGCTCCCTGCTCAGTGGGGAGTCTGCTTCTCCCTCTGACCCTCTTCCCTCTCATGCTCTCTATCTCTCATTCTCTCTCTCTCAAAAAAAAAATAAATAAATAAACAGTAATAATGTTCTTATTGATAGGACAGTCAACTAAAATATCAGTTGTAAAGCATTTAGAACAGTGTTTGGCACAGAGAGAACTCTATAATTGTAAATCTTTATAATTGTCTTATATACAAACTTATTATTTAAAACTATTCAGCTCATTAAAACATTAGCTTACAGACTCCACTGATTGGAGAGTTTGGGGGGATGGTAAGGAGAATGTATTTTAATATATTCCGTACCTTGAACTTTCTCTCTACCATCCTTAAGCTTTTTTTATTTAGCACAGTGGCCACATGAAAATAATGTAAATCACCTTCTATTTCAACCACTACACTGTCAATTAATGCTTATTTTATGTGTTTTTTAGGACATTTCTGATTCATTTGCATCCTTGAAGAGCATCTGTAGAAGAGGAAGGAAAAGATGGGTGTGAAAACATTTACTCATAGCTCCTCTTCCCACAGCCAGGAAATGCTTGGAAAGCTTAATATGCTGCGGAATGATGGACATTTTTGTGATATCACAATTCGTGTCCAGGACAAAATCTTCCGGGCACATAAGGTGGTACTAGCAGCTTGCAGTGATTTCTTTCGCACCAAACTTGTAGGCCAAGCAGAGGATGAGAACAAGAATGTGTTGGATTTGCATCATGTTACAGTGACTGGCTTTATACCCCTTTTAGAATATGCTTACACAGCCACTCTGTCAATTAACACAGAAAATATCATTGATGTTCTAGCTGCAGCCAGCTATATGCAAATGTTTAGTGTTGCTAGCACCTGCTCAGAGTTCATGAAATCAAGCATTTTATGGAATACACCCAACAGCCAACCAGAAAAGGGTCTAGATGCTGGACAAGAAAATAACTCTAACTGCAATTTTACTTCTCGAGATGGAAGTATTTCGCCTGTGTCTTCAGAGTGCAGTGTGGTAGAAAGAACCATTCCTGTCTGCCGAGAGTCCCGGAGAAAGCGCAAAAGCTACATTGTTATGTCTCCTGAAAGTCCTGTAAAGTGTAGCACGCAAACAAGTTCTCCCCAAGTATTGAATTCTTCAGCTTCCTACTCAGAAAATAGAAATCAACCAGTTGACTCTTCTTTAGCTTTTCCCTGGACTTTTCCTTTTGGAATTGATCGAAGGATTCAGCCTGATAAGGTTAAGCAGGCAGAAAATAACCGGACTTTAGAATTACCTGGCCCATCTGAGACAGGGAGAAGAATGACTGATTATGTGACTTGTGAGAGCACAAAAACTGCCTTGCCTCTGGGTACTGAAGAAGATGTCCGGGTCAAAGTAGAAAGGTTAAGTGATGAGGAGGTCCATGAGGAAGTGTCTCAGCCCGTCAGTGCATCTCAGAGTTCACTGAGTGATCAGCAGACAGTGCCAGGAAGTGAACAAGTCCAAGAAGACCTTCTGATTAGTCCACAGTCTTCCTCCATAGGTATTCTGTCTTCTGTGTTTTTTCATGATATTGTAAAGTCAACTTGAGCATTTTTTTTTCAATTTGAGCATTTTTAAGTACCTTTTAGATAAAAGTTGTGTGCTGGATCCTATAGGAATCATGAAAAAGAATAAAACACAGTAACTAGGATTTTTTAGATACTATTAGTACTATTTTTTTTTTTTTTACAAGTTATGCATTGAGAAAGAAAATAGCTAAACAATTTCTGACGGGTCAGAGACAGATTATGTTATATGTGAGTTGTGAATTATTTTCAATGCAGAATATACCAGTTTTTAAAAATCCGGTTAGTGTTTTATTCTTTGTCAAAATATTTACTGAAAACTTAACCCTGTGCCAAACATTGGGGATATATGATGAAAAAGACATAGTCCCTCCATCTGAGGGTTTAATAGTCTAATTGAGGAAGCAGAGGTGTAAATCAGTGATTAGTACTAGGCTAGAGATATGAACAAAGTGTTAAGGGTCACAAAGGAAAGAGCAAGTTAGCACTATATATTTGAACTGGATTTTAGTAAGTATGAGTTTGCCCAGGAGAGGGAATGACTTACCTTTGAAAATGAATAAAAGCCCAGAGAAGTGGAAAACCATTGCATGTTTGGGAAGCGGCAAATTCAGTTTAAAATGATGTGAATAAACTATGGAAGCCTGCAAGTATTGGAAATAATGAGAGATAAGACAAAATGAGCAGTTGAGAGCATATCATGAAGAATCTTAAACACTAGTTTCACTTAGGGTTTCACTTGCATTTAACTACATATAACATTTCCCATCAAAGTGGCTTAGACCAAACAGAGTTTTATTTTTATCACATAAAATGTTCAGAAGTATGAAGTCCAGGACTGGTATGGTGGCTTTACAGTGTAATCAGTCTGGCCTATGTCCCTGGTATATTTATAATCCACCATCCTTAGTTTGTCAGTTTCATTGATATGCTTATTGCTTCTTAGTTACAAGATGCTTGCTTCATCTTTAGCCTCATATTCTAGCAAGGGGCAGTGCTTATATCAAGAAAGCACAAATGTTCCCAGAAATCCTTAAAAAAGCTGCCAGATTATGTCATTTGGTCTTTCCTAGCTGTAAGGGAATCTGAGAAGATATGTATATTAGTTGGATATATAGCTGCCTCAAACAGAATTGGAGGAGCATGGATACTATGTGCAACTAGCAGTGTCTGCCACAGTTAGGCCACATAAGCTTGAATGTTATCCTCATGGTAATAAGAAGTCTACCTTAAAGGGAATAAAAATAAGACACAGATACTTAGGAAAATTAATTTGATATTAGTATGCAGGGGAGTTTGGCTGGGCAGAGAGACAAACTAGTTACAGGAGAGTTGTTTTTGTATGAATGAAGATGCTTAGAGTAAAACTATAAAGAAATAAAAGACTTCGTAAAGGAAGAATCATTACTACCTAATGATATTGAATATGTGAATGGAGGGAATGGGAGGGGTTAGAGAACTTTAGATGACTAGAAAAATAGTGATAACATCTTATTCACTGATTCTAAGTCATAATTTTTCATATTTAAATAGAGATATGTCTTACAATTTTTTACAGTAGCTTTTTCTTAATGTTACAAAAAATAATGGTAATTATATAACAGAAGTCTGTTAAATTCAGTTACTATAAATATGAAAATCAATGGAGGAAGTTGGGAACCTAGTTTTAAGAGTAAGTCAATAAGGTCAAGTCTGTGTGAATTATGCTTGGGTGATGACCAAGTAATGTCATGCTACAAAGCAGTTGAAAAAGCAAGATTGGTGAAATCAAGACTAAAGATTACCGGTTTAGGGCTTTTCTTTTAGCAGTGACAGATTGAATCTCAACAGGAAAATATATATAAGCTAAAACCAAAGGACTGATCCTTGAGAAATATCTATATTCAGGGAGAGAAGAAGTGCCAGTAAAGAATAATAAGGAGGGGTTCTCCAAAAGATTGGAGAACCAGGAATGCCATATTAACTTTTAACTTTGTTGATTTCTTGAATTTTGACCCACTGTATGAGTTTCTCAGTGTTGTCACTACAAACTGTATGATACAAAACAATAGTTTATTCTCTCATCGTTCAGAAGGTCAGAAGAATGAAATCAAAGTGTTGGCAGGGCCATGCTCCCTCAGAAGGTTGTAGAAAAGGGTTCTTTCTTGCCTCTTCCTAGCTTCTGGCAGTTACGAGTACTCCTTGCTGTTCCTCAACTTGTAATTGCATCCGTCTGATTTCTACCTCCATCTTCATGTGGCCTTCCTGTGTTTCTGGCTCCAAATCTCCCTTATCTTATAAGGACACTAGTCCTTGGATCAGCACCTCCCCTACTCAGGATGACCTCATCTAACTTGATTACATCTGCAAAGACAGTATTTCCAAATAGGGTCACATTCCTACGTATCAGGGGTTAGGACTTGAATATGGCTTTTTGGGAGACATAGTTCTACCCACAGCACCAACTAAAGATCATATTTAAGTCTTTGGGAAAGATTTTTTTTTTTGTTTAAATTTTAATTCCAGTATAATTAACATACAGTGTTATATTAGTTACAGGTCTACAATATAATGATGCAACAATTCTGTACATTACTCAGTGCTCATCATGATAAGTGTGCTCTTAATCCCCCTTGCCTATTTCAGACACCTCCCCTGTGGTAACTATCAGTTCTCTATATTTATAGAGTCTGTTTTTTGATTTTGTCTTTTTTCCTTTATTTGTTTTGTTTCTTAAATTCCACATATGAGTGAAATCATATGGTATTTGTCTTTCTCTGACTGACTTATTTCATATAGCATTATACCTTCTAGATCGATCCATGTTATTGCAGATGGCAAGATTTCATTCTTTTTTTATGGCTGAGCAATATTCCTGTGTGTGTGTGTGTGTGTGTGTGTACATACCACATCTTTAACAATATTCATCTGTCGATGGACATGGGTCAGGATACTTTTGAAGAATTCCAGTGACCACACATTCAATAATATATTTAATGTTAGCTATTTGTTCGTATGACCAAGTTTTTGTTAAATTACTAATCTTTAATCCTCAAAACACCTTCTGAATAATGAACTCTTTAATGAATATTGCTCTTTTAATCATTTTATCTGAGAACTTAGAAACCAAATATTAACCTAACTCATTATCTTGCTAACTAGGCATGTGAAATAGTCTGATTTTACCACTCTCAGGTATATCTAATCAGTTGAGATTTTGCCTTTCTATCTTACTAACATGATTAAATAGAGAAGTTAGGAACTTAAATAGAATAAACCTATCAGTTATATAAGTATGATTTATTTCCAATATATATTATCAAATATGTAGATTCTGTTACAAAGCTGACATGTGAATAACTATGATCTGAATATCATATCAAATAATCCAAAGGAGTTGTTTTCCTTGCCTTCATAGTAAATATACTAATCACTGTCAATTAACCTATCTTAGCTCCAAATCTATACAATAAAACAAAGCTTTACAATAAAGTTAAATTCCTGGAGTATAGTAAGCAGTCAAAAAATGTGGGCAGGAGAAAGGAAAAATATGTACGGTACCTTTTTTCTGTATTCTATAAGAATACTTCAGAAGAGGACTTAATTTTATTACTAACTTATTAAAGAAGATCTCTAAAAGGTAGTTTGTTTTTCCTAGGGACTGAGAATCTAATATTTAACACATTCATTATTACAAAAAAAATTTTTTAAAGATTTTATTTATTTGAGTGAGAGAGAGCACGAGCGGGGAGGAGAGGGAGAGGCAGACTCCCCACTGAGCAGGGAGCCCAAAGTGGGGCTCCATCCCAGGACTCTGAGATCATGACCTGAGCTGAAAGCAGACGCTTACCAACTGAGCTACCCAGGCACCCATTATTACAAAATTCTAAAATAATAATTTGATTATCCATGAAGTTATTCAGATAGGAGTTTACCTGTTCTTTTAAGTTCCTTTTGTTGCCAGTTGGCCCAGCAGAGGGTTGTAAAATCTGACATCCCCATTTTAGGGCAAATAGCAATAAATACAGCAAATTTAAAAGAAAAAAAGTCTGCTAAGTTTCGTTGGGTCTTGGTACTCAAAAAGATGGTCATCAATATCTGGTATAGTTTTAAGAAAAAATACTGTTAAGTGAGAAAGACTTCATGATATGGCTTTATTATTTGTCCTGAAGTATTCAATTATCTTTAGGCACTAAAGCAATTATCTTTAGCAGCACTAAAGACAAAATAAATAGTTCTAGATAATCCACAGTTTACGATGTTAAAGGAATTCATTTTTTTCTAAACTTTAAAATCTGCCATCAAAAGTAAAGCAGTTGTTACAGGGGTCAGTTATATTAAGAGATAATTTGACAGTTTTCTCAGTAGCAGTAGTGAATAGATAATTTGTTGAGGTGGGCAGCTAGAATAATGGTGGAATTACAACATTGATCATATGGAGAAGGTATAACTGCAGGCAGAATCCCTGTAGTGTAGAAAGGAAACTCCATTTTCATAATTTAACAAGCATCACTATACCTCAAGAAAAGTAATACTGTTTGTGTATCCTTGCTATTAAATTGGTTTAAATTCCAATTCATATGATTACTTGTGTTATTGGCAAAAACCATCACCTTGGTAAAAAATTTACAAGATTTTTATCAATAGTTGCATAAGTGATGTAACACTATTTATGTGTTATAATGTCCACAGTACAGAGAGAATTCTTAAAGTGTGCTTTTTTAACTCTTAATTTAACTTAGAGTAGTTTTTATTTTTAGCTTTTGGTGCATTAATAACCATGGGCAAGAGGAGAATGTTGTTTTAAGAGGGGCCATCTGCTAGATGTATCTTATACTCCATTTTAGTTATTTTTTGACCAGCTTTTTAAGCAAACTCTTGACAATGCTAGGATCAGTCCAAAGCAGAGTGGTTTTTATTTCCACCTCATCAAGACTCCACCCCGCCCCCGCCAGAAGTAGTGTGGTCTGATCATGAGGAGCAAATGTCAGTTAGA